GATCCTTCTGAGCAGAAATGCGGATGTGCACGTGTGTAACGAGTACGGCGATACGCCCCTGCACGTGGCATGCCAAGGCAACAATCTGACGGCAGTCAGTCAACTCATGCAGAGAAAGGCGGATGAGACCACCCGGAACAGAGGCCGAGACAGTCCTCTGGACTGTGCCGTATCGGGAGGCCACGTGGCACTGGTGAGGTACATGTTGACGAGGGATGGAGGAACAACCTTGCTCTGCGCGGACGGCGACGAGCGTACGCCATTACATCTGGCCGCGGCAAACGGCGATCCCCGGATGCTGGAGTGCTTGCTGCAAGAGACGCCTTGGGTGGATGTGAGCACAGCGGCAGGAGACACTGCCTTGCATGTCGCGTGTCTGCACGGAAACACGGATGCCACTGCGTTACTGCTGAAGGCAGGGGCTGAGATTAACAGAGCCAACAACTACGGGAATACTCCTCTACACCTTGCTTCAATGCGAGGTAATACGGACACCCTGAATGAGCTACTCAAACGCAACGCACACATCAACGCTTGTAACAACGAGGGCAACACGCCCCTACACATGGCATCTGCTCAAGGGAGAGCGGAAGCGGCACAGTGCTTAATAAAACACGGCGCCGACGTCGGTATCAAGAACCGCGAGAAAAACACGCCATTACAGCTGGCAGCAAGTAAGGGTGACCTGGAGGTCATAAGACACTTGACAGAAGCGAACTCCGATGTCAACGCCGTGAACACGAACGGGAACACAATTCTGCACCAGTCTGCAAGGAATGGGAGTGCAGACATCGTGAAACTCTTGCTGAGTACTGGTCGCTGTAATCTGGATGCAAAAGACGACAAAGGAGAAACGCCTCTGTTCGTGGCTGCCAGGAACGGATTCGCGGACATCGTGGAGAGTCTGGCGCTCTCTGGAGCGGACATCAATTTCCGAGCAGCCGACGGCGACGCTCCAATGCACGTAGCAGTCGAGAGCGGGAATGTGGAGCTGGTGAACAGACTCCGGGAGCTAGGAGCCGATTTAAACGTTCGTAATTCACTAGGGAACACTCCTCTTCACAGAGCGGTGTTCTGTAGTGACGAAGCAATGATACGGCACTTAGTCGAGATAAGGGTTCACAGACGCGTTGAGAATTCGGAGGGCGACACGCCTTTCGACCTGGCTGCTCGGATGGGGTTAAGTAACTCCATTCTTAAAATTCTCTAAAGAGTACTAAAATTCGCTTTTCGTCTAAATTTAGAGAGTGAACTCGAACACTGTAGTTTTTCTTTACGTGAAATAAATGTTGCTGTGTTTTGAATTGTAAAAATCGTCTCTTAGTCCATTACTCTCCCTAATATTACGACAGAATGAGGTATAAAGGTCAAAGAATAATCTCGACGAATTACGTCTTATCTCCTGGTTCATCAACATCCATACGATTACACTAAGCTTGGCCTGTGTTGGAACATTGGCGCATTAAAGTATTAAAGTTACTGATGGGGCAAGCTGTAAGCGGAAAACGTGCAGATTTACAGGACTGAGGGTCTGGCATCCCAGCACACGACTATCTGACGCTAATCTGACTAGAGGCTAAGCGGCCGCCAGCCGCGATTACACGACTTGCGAGCATTACGGTCGCAAGTGACGATCACCGACGGCACATCACATCTAGGAGCACGATATTCGGTCTGGTGCGACGTAATCATCTTAGCAACTCTTTTAACTCCTTTCTGTCCGTTGGGTTCAGAGACCCGAAACTTTTATCTCACGTATTCAAGACTCTTAACCCGTCACCAAGTCAGCGAACCGCTGAACCACACGCAAGTGTGTTTTCATATAACAAAATCATTTAAATTAATGTAACCCAAACTGACACAAGTGCACAAAACATTTTCCTACATTATCCACCCCCCCACCCCCTTAACCCAAACTGACACAAGTGCACAAAATATTTTCCTACATTATCCACCCCCCCCACCCCACCCCCAGACGGGCAGCTTTCTTATTGGCGTGTTTAACGAAACTGAGCCAATCTAAACATTTTTCTATGTAAATTAGCAACGACAAGGAATGGCGAATTGTTACGAAGTACTGGCCTAACGTTTTTTTTCATGAACTGAGAAAAACCACGAAAACTCTGCACCAGGACCGCCGGTCCCCGGCTGTGTCCAAACGAATGATTGGATTTCGCCTGCCTTACCGACCTTCTCGTGGTCTTACTCAGTCTCTCAAAACGCAGCGCGTGGGTCCAAATTTCATTTTCAGTTCGCTGACGTCTCCGAAATCCTAGCAGCAAACAGACACAAAGAACAACGCGAGGGCAGATAAGATTACAGTTCGGGGTCAACAGCATCAGCAGAGGAGCAGCGAAATCTGTGAGGTTCAAGCGATTGGAGTGGACGGCCGCATTCGTGCACGAGAAGGTACGTTGAATTCACGATCACAAAGACGAGAACACAAATCCTGATTCGTCTTGGAAAATTTTAAAGTTAAAATTAGGAGGTTGACAACGTCAGAGAAATACGTCATCGTCACAAGTTGACGTTAATTGTACCTGGTGGGTCGCGTCATCTCACGAACAAAAGGTGCGAGGGTCAGCCCTTTCCTACTCCAAGTCAGTACAATTGCCACTTGGTACTTTCAGAAATGGAACGCTGGTCGGGCAAGGTGGCCGTAGTGACGGGGGCGAGCTCTGGTATTGGAGCTGCAATAGCTCGGGATCTCGTTAAACACGGCCTGCAAGTCGTCGGTCTGGCCAGACGCGTCCACAGACTTGAGGTGAAATGGCGTGCACTTACAAGATTAAATACACGTATCAGTTTAGAATAAAACTGCACTAATTAATAATTAGTTTCTGCTGGATTTTAAAAATTGTATTTCGAGGAAAAAATATTTGATAGTAAATTCACTGCCAAATTTTTAAATGTACAGAGCCTTTCCAATTTTGAGAAATACTAACTGATGTGTGCCTTGGCATCAATAAAAATAATAAGCAGGAGAGAGCACAAATTACAACAAAACATTTTAAGCTCTTCACTCACATGCCTGGCGTGATTCTGATGTGATATTATCCAGGGTCACGTTGCAGCATCTCGCAATCTCGACTGACGATCTCGTGCTTTTCCTCAGCCCCTTCAGACGAATGCCTTTAAAATGGACGAGAACGCAATCAGATTCGATGTTCGTAATAATCGCCCTGTAATTCTGCGCCACGCTCCGTTCGACAGAGTGCTTGCATTATTTGTCTTCGCCAGGAATTGTCTGCCGAATTAAGCGCTGCACCCGGGAGGCTGCACCCCCTTAAATGTGACGTCACAAAAGAAACCGACGTCCTGATCTCATTCGCCTGGGTGAAACAGCAGCTCGGGACGCTCTAAGAGCATCTGGAGTTATTTTGGCATTTGGGGAACGGCGCAAAGATATTGGATGCCAAGCTATGAAGATCCCCGAGAAAATCACGTCAGTGGGATTTGTTTCCGGAGTCTGGCGGTGTCACGGCATAAGACGAGTGCAGCCACGATGTTTTGTTCTATGTAACTTTCGATTGCTATCATTTGAACCAGGCCCAGGCCCAGGCCCAGGCTGACATCAAGCTGTATGAATCTGTAACAAAATCCCTTCGTCTCGTTTCCTCATATCTCATCTGGTCCAGTTACAAGGAGTCACGCAAAGCTTTTGGTACACAAAGCCGCCTATTTGGCATTCAAGGATTTTGGCATCAAACAGGACAAAAATTGGACAAATTTAAATGTGTTTCTGCATGATCATAATTAATGTATGGGCACGTGAAGCCCAAACTCTCAGCACCTGATTTAAGTAGCTAGTTCATGCTCCCACCATGTTAACTCAAGATAAATGCCCTTGACAGTATTAAGGTTATGTTACTGTACCACTTGAAGAATTGTTGCTGCCTGAAGTTTCTTGGTTTTACAGATTTCAAAACAGAAGATTGGCTGCAAATGTTAAATGTGAACACTGTGGGGTTAACGCTTTGCACTAGGCAAGCTATTAAATCAATGAGGGAACGTGGAGTGAACGACGGACACGTAGTGTATATAAACAGGTAAGTGACCTCCATTTTCTTTCCTTATTTCACATGACAAACTAAACTGATTACGCACCTGAGAATCAATCATGAAATGGATTTACAGTTGAAAATTTATCCAAAGGATATTTAACACTGTTCAAATTTCCAAATTCAGGGCCCCATTTTCTTAGTTTTTGGGGTTTGACAATAAAACCGGTTTACAGCTACCTGGAATCATCACAGCTTCGATGTGTTTCTGCAGTGTTGATCCATCAATGCCAAGTTCTATCAACATGCTCATTTGCAAACTTTCTTCATGTTTGAGTGAGTTTCAAATAGACTTCACAGACTTGCATAATATGTATAATACTTACTGTCTATTGCAAATGTTGTGCAGTATCTTCAGTTGTGGTTCTGTCATCATGGCAAGAACAAGGGAGTTCATGAGTAAATTTACTGCCAGCTTTAAGACAGGCAAATTTATTACCTCTATGATTTCCTTCAACACCAATATAATGGCCTCACATGTTTTAAACACTACTTGGCTCAGTACTAGAGGCACTACTGAATTTCTAAATTTAAAATCTTAAAATGTTGTTTCCAGTATCCAAAAAAAGCATGGAGCAGCAGGAAGTCCTTGGCTAGTTGGGATGGCATTTTTCATTACAATGTCCTATTTTTCTATAAAAGGCATAACCACTCGTAATAATTAATTATAACTTGCTATTTTTCTATAAAAGGCATAACCACTTGTAATAATTAATTATAACCTAAAATACCTATGAACAAGAAATTAATATAAGCTCCTGCTTTATTTATTTATAATTACTTCAACAAATCATCACGGCTATATATATGTTGCTTCTTGAACCATTTCATCTATCGTTTTTTTCTTCCTTGGTAATAACAGTTAACGCCAAAATGTAACACAAACTTGCATTTTTGGTACTCATTTTCAACTTCAGTTAACCACAGAATTCACTATCACAGAATGAAGTTTGTGCAATGCCTGATTCGTGTATGGTCTACAAAATTGAATAATACTCATTGCGAAATATTTGCCTGTACAATATTGTACGTGTAGAAGCCCATAAGATACGAAATCGATAGGTACTATGTAGGCCCTGGTATACCCTGTGGGTTCTACCGTCAATTGGAGCAAACCACTGAGCCTAACCTACAAAAATAATTCTGTTTTAGTATACTTTTTTAATATGATTACCAAGACTGTAGCTTTGTATATTACGTAGCTAAAATGGCATAAAATCACAAAAAAATAATATTTACCTCATAAAGTAAGTGCTCATCAAAACAAAACTTCACTAACACACCTACTACTTCACTACACATAAACTTTCCCGCTACTGATTGTTACGTCCAGCGCTGCCAATATATCGCCCCTGTAAATACAATTACCTGAAGAGGGCATTTTCAGTTCTTCAATAAGCACCGTTTTCAAAATATATGGGTAATATTCCCTCTTTCAATTTGGGACATCCTTAGTTCAGAATTTGGCTCACAAAATATCCTGTCTGAGGATTTTCTTAGTTTCCTTATTATTCTAAGCAAGTGCTGGGAAAGTACATCACCTTAAAATAGGTTAGGACTTCGATGTATGAAGTGAAGCTTACGCGGCGACTGAAATTGATTAAAGATTCTCGGGCTAAAAGTCACGTCAGGTGGCAGAGATTGTTCTCGAAAAATTGGCAGAAGATATGGTTTGTTCATCGTTCAGCCACCTGACGCGGCTTGTAGCACAAGAATCTTTCATCATTAGGACTTCCTTCATGCATATCCTTTCCAAAACGTAATTCACAAACCATACTGTCATCAATCTTACATAATCAATGAAGCTGATAGTTTCACTAAATAAATAAACAATTTATCAATCTGCTTCATGTATCTGGCAAGACAGGAAAGCAACAAAGATAGCGTGCCTGCCAGTCAAGATGCAAACCAAAGACCTCCATAGCACAACAGGATTTACATTACAATACCGACTATGATGGCACAGACATTGACAACCATTGTAATTATAATTATTATATTTTCTCTAGCTTTCTAGGGCATACTATGTCAAATAGCCCTGGATTTAACATGTATGCAACCACAAAGCATGCAACAACTGCCTTGGCTGAGAGTCTCAGGAGAGAATTACTACAACTGAAAACACGAATTAGGGTATCGGTGAGTTCAAATGCTAACTAGTCTGTGTGCTGTATTACCTGGCTATTCACTCCTCTGTGATCTCTTGTTCATTATTTAAAAAAAACTACTTTTACAACATAGTACCCAATGACTTTACCCCCTTTGCTACTCTATTGTTTTGACATTGTTGTGGATTCTTTGGACTATTCTGAAGCAATTTATATTACAATTATTCTTCTAATGGGATGGACAACTCTGATCACTCTCTAGATCAGTGTTCCACAACCCTTTTTCATCCATGGCATACCCTAATTTGTCAAAGATGTCACCTCACAAAAAGGGGGTATGAAACTTCACATGATCATAAGTGTGCGCACATATGAAACATAATGTGTTGTATAAAACTATCAATGATGAACCAGCATATATGTGTGTGTGTACACAGCATGGGAAAAATGGCGCACAATAACAATGGAAATGGGTAGGAAACCTCAAACCAAAATGAAAATGTAAAAGGAAGCATTCTCTAGAAGGAATTTTTACATAACCATCAAATGGGGCAAGCACATTAATCACAATGTGGGAGGGCCAATGGTTTAGGACGTGATGTACAGAACAGGAAATACAAAGATAGCTCCATGATACTGGGCATTAAAGCAGACCATAATTAAATGCTAGGGCTTAAAACCCAAGTTGTAAGGACTGTTGTTTAAATTTATGTTGGCAGTATTAAAGCATATCCAATAGATGGAATGCCCTGATTTTGGCAAAGAACGTGTCAACTTGTCATTAATCATGTGATGTTACACACCTTAACAAGCCTTGACCACCTGTATAATTACATTGGAATCCACAGAGTATCAGCCCTGGATTGGTGAGGACGGAGATGCTGAGTGCTGGTATCACCAGGACCGTGGGTCCTGACATATACAACACAGTGAACTGTTTAGAACCTAATGATGTTTCAAATGCTGTAGCATATGTTCTTGGGACACCCCCACATGTCCAGGTAATATGAGCTTCTCTCTACACACAATACAAGTAATTACCACATAACAAATCAAATATTAATTATGGGTATCTTTCTTATTTCAGATACAAGAACTCATTCTTCTTCCAACTGGACAGTCTTAAAGAATATTAAAAAAGAATCTTATTGCCATCACTTCCAGTACTCAACAAAATGACTGTAAAAGCAGACTTATTTCATAGTTACACAACTGTCTCATCCCAGCACCCAGCAATAACTGCATGACTCACTACCATGTGCTCAAAGACTTACCACACAAATCTAGTATAAACAATAAACTACATTATAAGAGGTGCTGAAAATGCAGACATACACTCTCTGTATTTATAATTGTTATTATTTTTCATATTGTTAAAGAAAAGATATTGTTATAAGCAATGACTACCGACCCCAAAACATACTAATCAAGTGAAGGATTTCTGAAGAGCTACAAGAAAATATAATTATTTATGTGTGTTATAGTTATGTATAAAATATTATTAATAAAGGAAAATACCCTGCTCATACTTCATTCTTTTAAATAATCATATTTATAATTTATAAGAAGCATTCATTAGATGACATGATACCAGTTACTGGATAAAGATATTACACACTGATACTGATAGGAAATTACATATATAAGCCCATTACACTCAATATCTTTTACTTCCTAGTAAACACTTATCAGCATTCATTTCATATTTTGTTATTACAGGTTGTTCCCTTACCTTCTAACATGTCGGTAAAGGGGGTTATTTCCTGCAAACAGCTTGCAGTGGTGATATTAAACAAAGAGGGAATTTATGCAAAAAAATATATATTCTTTATAAGCCACTCTTGACTGACGACTGTCCGCAATACTATTTAAGACGTCTATTTCCTGCTGCATGAATCGACGTATTCATCCTCTCCGTGAGGACAGTCATCATGGTTGTCACACAGCCATGCTCTTGGAACACAGTGCGGCCATTCATCTTCATCCAATGAATTGTAGCACTGAAATTACAAAGGAAACTGTGACAGACTGATTCACTGTTTGATAAATTTCACAGGAATATCTGGAAATATCCTCAAGTTCATCAAACACCTTCAAATTTAAATATTAAAGTCACATTGTATAATTGTACTATCTAAATATTGGAATATGGCATTATTACACAAAAAAAATAAACATGGGATTATGACAGAACGTGTTATGTCCGTTGTGTACATATTTGATATAATTCACATTCTGTTAATTTGAGCTGCTCCTGCATTCAGCTGATTTGTTGCCATTACACTACTTTCTTAAGTGCTTAAAACATCAGATTATTATTCAAAGGGTTGTACGTTTGATCCCAGCCAGTGCCACAAGAAACTAAACAACCATAAGAGGACTGTCAGTACAATGCCAACCAATAGTATGAAGACCATAAATATATTGTGTTTAGCCTCACCTGGAATTCGAATTTGGGGTCACAATCATTGTGTGGTGAGTGGTGATCACAGTCAATCTCATCAGACCCATCAATACAATCGTGATCCTCATCACACACTAAACTATACGCTACGCAGTCACCGCCTTCATGACAGCGGAATTCACATGACGAGTGACATCTGTCTGGATCCTCATCTGACCTATCAGCAACAAGAGTACGGAGTATGAAGTCAGAACTGACACAGAAAACGAAGCTCCGACATACATATTTT